TACTGAGCCTCCTCAGGTAGCTGCGTCTGCGTCCGCATCAGGTCAGCTAGCAGCCCCCTGCTCGTGTCGCGCCCTGTCGCACCAGACGCTCCTTTGGCACCACCGCCTTGGTCACCCCTCCGTGCCACGCCTCCGTGGCATGCACTCCCGTCTCCTTGTCTCTGGTCTTCCCAGGTCTCTACCTCCCCTCCCACCCTCGCCTGCCCCTCCCTGCCTTCCCTGTGTCGAGGGGCGGCAGCGCGCCGCTCCTCACTCCTCCTCGTTTCCCCCGACGACTGCTCCCCTGCATACTCTCCACATGGACGTGTGGGGCCGAGCCGGTCTGACGTTTGACGACTCGGTTCCCTTTTACCGTCTCTTCCCCTACCGCACTGCCCCTCTCCCCCCCCCGCCGCTCTTGCTCGCACCAGGTCCTCCTCTGGTACACCCCCTCCCCCCTCAGGGTCCTGCTCGCTCAGGTGTGTCTCAGGTAGACCCTGTCGAGCCTGTCGAGGTCGCTGTCGACTCAGGTGCTGCTGGGGGTGGTGCTGCTAGGGGTGCTGCGTCTGGGGGTGCTGAGCCTGAGCGTGCGGAGCCTGGGGGTGCTGAGCCTGAGCGTGCGGAGCCTGGGGGTGCTGAGCCTGGGGTTGCTGAGTCTGAGGGTGCAGAGCCTGGGGGTGCTGAGCCTGAGCGTGCGGAGCCTGGGGGTGCTGAGCTTGGGGGTGCTGAGCCTGAGCGTGCTGAGCCTGGAGGTATTTTGTCTGCTGGAGGTCCTTCGGGTGCCTCGTCACGGCGGGAGTCTCTCTCTCCACCGCAGCTGCGCGAGTGGTTTGCTCAGCGCTGGAGCCTTCGGAGTGGCGCTGCTGGAGCTGGGGGGCCTGCCGCTAGAGGTCCTGGAGCTGGAGGCACTGGAGCTGCTGGTCTTGGAGGTGCTGGAGCTGCTGGTCCCGGAGGTGCTCGTACTAGAGGTACTGGAGCTGCTGGAGCCGGTGGGGCTGCAGGCGTTGTAGCTGGAGACCCTGGAGCTGGAGGTGCTGGCCCTAGGGGTGCTGGTGCTGTCGGTGCTGGTTCTGGAGGCACTGTGCGGCCGCGACCGTACTTCGTTCCACTGCTTCAGCAGGTTCTTGGTCTCCCGTCTTCTACTGGCCTTACTCCTCCCTTACTGTGTCCACCGCTTGACCAGTCGCAGCCGCAGTTACAGCCAGCCTCCCCACTTCCTGCTCCTAACAGGAGGTCTTACAGAGCGTCGTGAGCCTGCGTCTCGTCCTGCGTCGCCTGTTCGCGCTGTTCGCACTGGTCGCCGTGTTCCTCGTCAGCGTCCTCCTCCTGTCCCCTGTACGCACCCTATGGCACTTCGTCATTCCTCTGTTCCACATTGTGTCCCTCTGCTGTCTCCTCCGGCGTCCTCTCTTCCTGACGTTCCTGACCCGCCGTCCGACCTTGCTCGTGCTGCCAGTCCTACTGTCACACGTCTTGTAGCCACTGTTGTCACTGACCCTTCGTTTGAGTCCAATGATGCGTCAGCCCTAGTTGCTGAGCTTGTTGACTTTGCTGCCGCCTGTCATCTCTACTACGCCGCTAGTCTTGTTGCTGAGTCTGAGTCTGCCTGTCCTCCGTCCGTCGGGGGTGAGTGTGCTCTTGGCACGGACGTCCTTGAGGACAGCAGGAGGACTTTGAGTGTTTTGCAGCTGCTGTACCTCATCTCGTGTCCATGCTGATTGCACCTGAGGGAGACCCGGATGCACCAGACATCCCGACCCCGCGCTCTTACGCAGAGGCGATTACAGGCTCCTACTCCTCTCAGTGACAGACAGCCATGGACGCAGAGATGCCATCCTGGAAGTCCACAGGCACTTACGTCGACGCAGTTTCCCCTCCTGGGGCGAACATAGTCGATGGCATGTGGATTTTCAGGGTAAAGCGGCCTCGGGTTCTCCGCCTGTCTTCAAGGCGCGTTACGTTGCACGAGGCTTCAGTCAGCGACACTGAGTTGACTTCTTCCAAACCTCCTCCCCTACCCCGAAGATGACTACTCTTCGGGTGCTGCTGCACATCTCCGCTCAGCGTGACTACGAGCTTCACTCTCTTAACTTCAGCACATCTTTCTTACAGGGTAGCCTGCACGAGGAGATCTGGCTGCGCCGCCCACCTGGCTTCACTGGGTCGTTTCCTGCAGGTACCCAGTGGAGCCTCCAGCGGCCAGTCCACGGTTTCCGCCAGGCGCCTCGCGAGTGGCACGACACATTGAGGACGACGCTTGCGGCTCTTGGATTTGCTCCTTCGACTGCTGACACTGAGGGACTGGCCCTAGTGAAGTCGCAGCTACAGAAGAGACACACGTGCACAGACCTGGGTGAGCTGCGCAGCTATCTTGGCTTGCAGATCACCCAGGACAGAGCACGGCGCACCATTACCTTGACTCAGTCACACATGGTGCAGCAGGTCCTTCAGTGCTTCCGCTTCTAGTACTCC